TAACTGTTAACTGACATCCATTAACATGGCACGTGGAACTAAAAGAGTCTATTCCAGTGAGCGAGAAAAAGGTTTCAGTTCGACATTTCAAATACCTGAAGAAGGCCGGAGCGTACAACGGCCGAAACGTTGTAATAAATATGAGGACAATAGTCCGAATAATGTAAATAATATTCAGAAGTGAATTATGTAATTCCAGGAAATCGCAGATGGTCCGAATTGAATCTAAATTTCTCGGGAAAATTCTACTCAGGTGAAGCACGATGGATTGTGTTCATTATGATAAGTTATAAAAACTAAAAATTCAATTCAGGATAGCACCAGATCTTTAGTAACAGTAGATACCGCGACATTCCTAAAAGAATGTAGTCGAAGAACATTAAAGGAATGGATGACAGACGAAATACATGACATGATGAAAAAGACACAAAAAGCTATGCGAAAAACGGGACTGAATATAAGACCCTAGACTAAGAAATAAATAAAATATGCAGACAGGCTAAATAGAAACGGCGTAACCGAAAATGGAGAAATATAGAAAGAATACGTATCACAGATAAATCAGTCATGAATGAATAAAATAAGAGAACTAACAGTAAAAAAGACAACATCAACAGAGTGTTAAAATCCAAGTACGAAACGCTTATATTAAAGAAAGTAAGAATTACTCCAGAGATAGAACCCATATATCTGAAAACTCTTCCACGTTAATAGAGAACAATCGGCAATACACAGAAAATCGGTGGGCCAGAAAACTGAAGTGGAGGCAGTACTGTTCAAATGGAACAGAAACAAAGCGGCAGGGCCAGTCGGAATAGATGGAGACTTTCGACGATTTCGGCATAGACAAGATTACTGAAATAATAAATGAAAAATACAACAGTGGTTACATACCAGAAGACCTAAGTAGATCTATTTTCATAGCACTGCCAAAGAAGCCAGATGTAAACGAATATGAACGCCAATGGATAGTCAGCTTATTAAGCCATATAACGAAACTGATCATCCGAATACTGATGAAGAGAGCGTGCGGTAGAATCAGATCGGAAATAGGACAAGAACAGTGCGGGTTCGTCAAAGACACTGGAACCTAGAACATGCTGAGAATGTTATCCGAAAGAGCAATAAAAATTCTGAGGGACTTTTACTTGTGTTTTATAGATTACGATAGAGCTTTCGATATACTACGCCGCAATATATACTGGAAATATTCAGCAACGTTGATCTATTCGGGAAAGTTATTAGAATAATCAAGAACCTGCAAACGGCATACATGCTCATTGAGAATGAGTTCAGCGAATATACAAAAATAGAAAGGATCATAAGGCAAAGGTGGGTCTTCTCGCCTGACTAATTGAACCTATGGAGCGAGGCGATTCTGCGAGAACTCGAAGTCTTAGGAGGGTTAATTGTTGGAGGCCACAACATAATGTATGCAGCTGACACAGTGTTGGTAATAGAAAGAATGCTACAAAATCCCCTACAGAATGTAAAGAATGAAAGCGAGGAGAAAGGATTTAACATTAACTGCAAGAATAGAGAATGTATATTTGTTAACAAAGAGTGAGTCCAAAGTAAGAACTGCAAATCAGAGATAACATGTGCGGAAATTG